CCTTAGTCATGAAACATATTAGGCCAAGAGTAAAAACCGCCCTCTACCTGTCATAAAAATTCAAATTAATATTATATAGTTGAAATATTTAATAACTGAAATGAAAAACATATTGAATAAGATTAACAGAAGTTTAGACATTGGGGAAGAAAAGATCAGTGGTCAGAAATTATCAAAATTGAAGAATATAGAAAAAAGCAGAGACTAAAGAGAAGCACAAAACTTTGATCACCTGAGGGATATTTTAAAGCAGTTTATTATACATGTAATTGGAATACCAGGAAGAGTGGAGAGTGGATAGCAGAAATACTGTCTGGAGTAATAATGCCCAAAACTTTTCCAAATTTTATAAAAACCATAAACCAACAGATAAGAGAAACTCAGTAAACATCAAGTAACATAAACATAAATAAAACCACATCAAAGCATATTACAATTAAAATGCTGAATTTCAGTGATGAAGAAAATCTTACAATCAAACAAAATTTTTTAAAAAACACTCATTATGCCAAAGAAACAAAGATAATACAGATGTCTCTTAATCACAAAGCTTGAAAGCCAGAAGACAAGTGAACAATATCTTCAAAGCAATCAGAGAAAAAATATTGCCAACTTAAAATTCCATATTCAGTTAAAAAACACATTATTAAAAGGAAGGTGAAATAAAAACTTTTAGAGAATCAAAAGCAGAAAAATTTTATTTCTCTTGGACCACAAGAGAAGAAATTCAATACTTACCTGTCAGTACTTAACAGAAAATGAAGGAAAAAAATCAGTAGAATACAGAAGATGGAACAATACTATCAACTAATATGAGTAAATTGACAATTTCAGATAATTCCGCCAACTCCTGTAAACTAATCGTTTTTATAAGAGCCTTCCCTACAGGAATGTTAATAATTTTGAAATAGAAGAAATGGATAAATGTAGGAAGTAGATTAGTGGGTGCCTGGCATTATGGGGGAGAACAGGGACTGACTAGAAATAGGTGACAGAAATATTCCAAAATTAGATTGTGGAGAAAGTCGTGACAGGAAAGAATATATTAACCAAAGTAAGACACTCTAGTGAGGTGTGCACCTGAAATCTTGAACAATGGAATAGGCATACCTTGTTCTAAGACAAAAAATACTGAATATGAGGGTACTTCAAAAAGTTCATAGGAAAATAGAATTAAAAGACAAAGAAATCTTTCCATGAACTGTGTGAAGACCCCTAGTATAAAGAGGATGGTTACTATTTTTAATAGAATTTCTAAATTCAGTGTGTACTCAATAAAGATGAAGGAAATGTTTTTGTTTGTTTACTACTTGACAAAACGTTCTTTTTTTATACGGAGAATTTTATTTTATCTATTTTTATTTTTATTTTTTGGTGTGGTTAACCATAGACACTTCTTCTATTTTCTCTTTCTTTATTTTATTTTATTTCATTTTGTCAATATACAATGTGGTTGATTATTGTGGCCCACTACCAAAACCTCCCTCCCTCCTGGCATTCCCCCCTCCCTCCCAGCAACCTCCTATCTGTTCACTTGTTGTAACAACTTCAAGGAATTGTAATTGTTGTATCTTCTTCGTCCCCCCCCCCAGTTTATTTGTGTATTTATTTATTTATTTTTAGCTCCCACAAATAAGTGGGAACATGTGTTATTTCTCTTTCTGTGCCTGACTCGTTTCACATAATGTAATTCTATCTAGGTTCATCCATGTCGTTGCAATTGGCAGTATTTCATTCTTTCTCATAGCTGAGTAGTATTCCATTGTGTAGATGTACCA